ACCAGATATTTTAAGTAGTACCAACTTTCTTTTGGAAGATTAATCACTTTGAATATTGATCTTCTGAGGGATTCCATCAAAACACCAGAGACTTTCTAGGACGATACTGTCCAGAAACATCTCAAGCAAACTGGAAAGAAATCCAAAAAAAGCAAATCTCATTTTGCCAGGAACTCACACCAAAGAATACAACACAATGTTCAGCCATTTGTAGCAATCTGTTTAACAGGGGTTAATATATATATATATATATATATATATATATATATATATATAAAATCACTAAAGAAGACATGAAATGGTTAATGTCAGTGACAATTATTGCTAATCTTTCAGTTTTAATAGTTATCTCCCTTGATTGAATCATTGTCAACAACAAAAGGTGACCTTCATGTGCATCTAGTGAAATATGACAAGTATTATCAACTTAGAAATTTATTGTAAACAATAATGTTAATATTTCTTTTTTAAGTTTTCTTTCCATAAAGAATTCCATCATTTTGATCTGCAGAAAATGGCAAATGAGGTTAGGTTAAACAAATTTAATAATTAATGGTGGTGATTAGACCTTTAGCAAAATTAAATTTGGATTTATTTTTCATCATTCTTTTTTAACAATGATGTGCATGTGAATCATCATACTTTCAGACTGCTCTCTTTTAAAAGTGAAAGTGCCTTATCTTATCATGCAGGTAAATCACTAATAGAATTCAACTGTAACAAAATGTTACAGAACCTTGTGTTCAGAACCTCATGGAGAGAGTATATCCAGTTGGTAAAGATTTTTCTGATTCCCAAAACGAAAATAAGAGATAAGCATTATTTACATTATTCAGACTGTTATCCTCATCTTTATTGCCATATCCACAATGTTTCAGCCTTTGTACAGTCCAGCCTTCTTCAGGTGAGCAGAATTTCAATGCAAACTGTTTATTTCGTCCACCGAGGTAGATTGTTCTAGTTTTACATGACAGGCCTCTTGCAGATGCCTCAGTTACTTCCCTTTAATTCAACTCTCCAGGTTTTGGTTCACATGACCCAGTGGATAATGTTGTTGGTTAGATCCAGTGACTAGACCCAAAGAGTTGTGAGTTCAATACCAGGCTACAGTAGTGGTGAACCAAAAAAACTTGGAGAGTTGAATTAAAGGGAAATAACTGAGTCATCCGGAAAAGGCACGACACGTGGAACTAAAACAATCTACCCTGGTGGACAAAATAAAGGGTTTGGTTAGAAATTCCAATCACCTGAAGAAGGCCAGAGCGTACAACGGCTGAAACATTGTAAATATGGCAATGAAGATGAGAATAACAGTCCAAATAATGTAAATCATCTCAAAGATAGATAAGAAATGAGTCTTGACAAATTATTCATATTTCATGAAACCAATGAGTTCAAATCTTTTCACAAGCATCAAAAAATAACAGATTGCACCAGAGTCAGGAAATAATAAAAATGATATAAAATGGAGTGCTGAAAAATTTTTCATCCAACCCACTTTCCAAAAATCAGTATTTTTATGATCACACAAAATACTTATTATGTGAAGCTGGTTAGGCTGAGAATTGTTTAGTCCTCACAACTTAACAGCCGACTAATGCTTGCCTTCATATTCTTTCCTCAAACACCCTCCCTTTACTCTTACTTAAAAAAAAAAAAAAACTTCCTGACAATACCATTCCTCCAAATTTTCAATGTATTCTAAGTTGCTTGAATTTCTTATGGGAACCATTTTCAAAATTTTTCTCTTTTATTGCTGCTTTTTGTCACAATGTTCAGGTTAATGACCGGTAAGCAAGCAGCACACATCAGAAACTAAGCAACAGTCCTGGACAAGACCCAGGTTTGCATGTTACATCCCTAACTAACATGTCTCACAAATCCAAAAAGACATGGAAACAAAAAATTTAAATGCAAGTTTGAAAATCATCAGCTGTTTACATTACAGAATATGTAAAACAATATGGCAGTTGAAATAAAATGCAAAAAAAAAAGAGACAAACTTGCAAAAAATTAATAATAAAAAAGAATAATGTTTGCGTATGAAATAAACAGAAAGCATTATCACTTTTCGGTGGCAGAGACTACACCAAATCTCTGTGTGTATGTATATATGTATGTATGTAATAGGCATGTGGCCAAGTGGTTAGAATGTTCACATTTTGACCATGAGACCTGGTTCGAATCTCACCGTGGTCGATTTGTCAGGAAGTAGACTTCCTGATGTTATTGGTCTGGAGGGGGCAATCTCAGTGGAAAGTGCCTGAAAACCATACCACAGGTTGACGGAACACTTAGGGGCCATTGATAGCTATGCTAACACAAAGTCACAAGTGCTCGAGAGCTTGAGTGTCCTGGCCTTGTTCGAATTATTGCTCACACTAGATAACACACTCTTTCCCAGAAACTGTGTCTAAGGTCTGCTCAGCATAGCTGCTGTATAAACCACAGGTGGGTTCAGTGGGTATTGAATAAACACAAATGTGCCTAAGAAAGCATCTGCAATAGGGTTTGGCTAGCCACCTTAGTAGACTGGTATCCTCAAATATGAGTGGCCAGCTATACATGTATGTGTGTGTGTGTGTGTGTGTGTGTGTGTGTGTACACACAAAAGTCACCAAAATTTCTTTCATTGTTAAAAAAAAAAAAGCTGGAACATTTACAGACACCTAAATACTAAATAAACAAGCATTTTTTTTGTTAGCTTTTCTAATTTACATACAAGTGAATGAATGCCTGGATTCACTGAATATGATGGGTTAACCCTCTTTCCATTTCGCCAATAAGTATAGGAGTATGCACTGCACTAAGCCAGTTATGTGACTCTTAACAACAGCCAGTCAGTGACGCTCAGAGGCTGTAGAGAGGATATTTTTCAGGTAGATGCTAGAAAGAGAAGACGCATTCTTGATAGGCGGGTAATACAAGCTCTGGCAAGATGACATGCTAGACTTGTGAGTCAAGACAGCCTATTGTAAGATCCATTCAATTTCCTTTTCAGGGTCAGAGAGAAAGCATGTAACATTTCTACACTTAGCATGTTTTCTTTTTAGAAAATAAAAACTTCATTTACATTCTTCTGATTTCTCCTGTCTCTAATTTTTTTTTTTTTTTACAAATACTTGGGTCAGTCAGTTACGTGCCATGTGTGATACATGATTAGGTGATCATGTATCTTTCAATACATGACTGATGAGGCAGATTTTTTCCTGCAGTAGGTTGTTATTTCTTTCTGCAGTAGACCAGTTGCCATCCAAGGCTACAGAACCCAGTCTGTCCTGCAATTTATCCATAGCTTGGGAGAGAAGAAGAGGATTCATACCTTTCCCAAGGGTATTAGCACGTAAGTGAATGTAATGGATTCGACTGGAATTCGAACTCGGCTCTCCGATTCTTCAATCTGAGCCTCTATCCATTACTCCACTGTTTCTCCTCTGGTGATAGAACAGCCTGTGAAACAGAATCTGATTTAAAAGGGGATCGATCAGCAACTCTTAAATCAGATTCTGTTTGACCAGCCTTTCAAAATGGACGGGCCTCACTGCTTTGAAACTTATTAATGTAAGTCATAACATTTATCTCGTCTTCATTTTCCAATCTTCATCGAGTCGGTAATGTGCCATGCTTGATACACGTTTAGGCAATTATGTACCTTTCGATACTTTTGCCCCTATTTCTGGTCATTAAGATCAGGAGAGAAACAAAAAACTGCAGACCTTGTCTATGGTTTTTAATCAAAACTTAACCATGTGAAGAATTTATCAACACTTATTTTTTTTTTAAATAGAAACTGAATATTGCTGAAACTGATTTTTTAGTGGGAACTCTTGCTCACAACTAACATCTGTGTATGCATTTTAGCAACTGAGTAGGCACACAATATTCCATTTTAAATTTTGACAGAAGGAAAGATACAAGAAAATTCATCTTCCATGATAATTTTCCTTGTACCATGTCCAACATAAACAAAAACAATTAAAAATTTTTTTATAAAAGTGTTAATTATAAAGAGAACCAAAGAAATAAAATTTTTCAAAAGTTTAAATTAAAAGAATTTATACATATTCATATATAAAATTTGAGTTTTTTTGTTTTGTTTCTTTTAAACAGAAAACATGGTTCCTGGAATTTTGACGTTTGTCTTTTCATAATTGTCCATTGTCATTCATCAAAGGCTGTAGCATATCAAAGATTTTACATGCCACACAAGACACGAAACAACTGACAACCAGTAAAAACCAACATCACAGACTTGGTGTTTTTCATTCGTCAACGAAACATTTTCCCCCCGACAATTAAACTTTCATTCATGTGCCATCTGTAATTTTTTTCTTTTTTTTGCATTCATTCATTTTTTTGCTAACCATTTAATAAATTTTTCGTTTTTTTTTTTGTTCTTTCTTTTATTACAAAAATGTTTTCCTTCCATTTCTTTTGCCTGCCTACATTTTTTTTCTCCCTTCATATTTTTAGAAAGAAATAAAAATAAATGAACTCATAATTCTTGATTATTCATTGTTCATAACAGTGCAGAGTGGTTTTAGCTATCTTAAATGATGTTTGTTAGATCTTTTTTTTTTCTCTTGGGCCATTTCAGCCTAATAAAGCTTTTAGACTTAACATAATTCAGTCTAATCTTTACTAATTAATATTTTTAATAAAAATAATTCCTTTAAAAAAAAAAAAAAAAAAAATAATAATAATTTTCCTCAATGTTGTGATCCTTACTATTATCAAATCGCATCATCAGAACAGAACATTTGTCCATTCTGTATTTTGATTAAAGAGAACTTGGAGTTGTCTCCCTTATCATACGACCCCCCCCCAACCGCAAAAAAAACTTTCGGTATTTCCTTTTCAAACTTCTTTTTATGCTATTCAAAAGAGCTTATTTCTCCATCTTTACTAACCAAATCTGTTTCGGTCTGTCAAAAAAATAATAAACACTCCCTCCCATGCCCTACTTTCTCCTCAAGCCCAGCTAATTGGACGGACAAAAGTCAGCTGACCTTTGCAGGGGCAGATACTGCCTGAATGACACTGCTGCCCTGTGTGTATGAGTTTAATGATAGTAAAGGCATTGACGGATTTGCTCCCATTCCAGAAACTGCATTAGCATTTGAAAAGGGAAACGATGACGTTATTTCACAGCTTTCTTGTGCCAAATTTGAACCAAATACAAGGTGACTATTCACCCAGTCGTCTTTTGCAGAAGCGACATCCCCTAAACCCTTGTTATTCAGCAGATTTAATTCTGTTATCTTTTTCTGTAAAGTGAGAACCTCCTCTACAAGTAAGCACTGCTGCAGGTAGAGGGACATGCGACCGCCACCATTGATCTGTCCAGGATAGAGCCAACGGGTGTAGCACTGAGACCACAATTTCAGCAGAGCAATGTCAGTTTGTGGATAAAGCATGCTTTCTTTTTCCGGAGACATCAATGCCTCATCAGTACATCCCAAAGGGTGACAGCAGAATTTGCTATTGTAGATAACATATAAAGGGTTGTAGAGAAGACTTTGGTCATGTTCTTCCAACAGATTTTTCCATTTCCAAATTGAAGGCAGGCAGCTGATTCTTCTTTGGGATTGGTTCGGGCTCTGTCGCTGCTCATTCCAGAATTTCTTCTGGTCCAAGCTCTCCTGGTGCTGACTGTTGAAGAGGAACGTATGAAAGAGGCCTGTGTGGATGCTGTCCCACAAGATAGTTAGGTACGTCTCAGAGAACTCAAAACTCGCAGGAAACTGAGAGATTAGTTGCCAAGCACAGTCCAAAAAGAGAAGGAACACAGGAGACTGAAACAAAACAAAAAAAATAGAAATAAATATATATATATATATATAATGTTTCATGCTGGGGTGGTAGCACCTGTTAGGGTCCCAGCTATGGGCAAAGAGTGAACCCCCAAACAAAAAACAAAACATTATGATAGTATAAAAATACATTTTATATCTAGGAAAATTAGAAACAATACCTATTTATAATAAAATTAGCAACTAAGCCTATTTATAGTATACTAGCAGCATGACCCTGCATTGCCCGTGCTTGATTCAAAAATCGTACGACTCATACAGCAATTGCTATCACTTGACTTAAAATATTTTTGCCCTTCCTTGCCTTTAAAGGAGTGCCCTTTGCCGTGCTGATGTTGCTGCATGCCTTACTTCTTGCCTATCTCACACTGCAAATTTTTTCTAAGCTCTATACTAAACATTAAATCTGTTACAAAAAAAGAACTAAACAAAATGAACACAAAACGATCAGCTTTAAAAAAGGACTTGTAACTGGAAAAACCGAATGAAAAAAGAATGTTAAAAACAAATACTTTTTCACACCCAACCCAGTTCTACGGAATCAGAATCAACGTTGAGTTTAAGCAAGCGAATGAGCCAATTGGAGTAAAGTGCCATGCAGATTTAAATTTTTCCCACTTGTGACAATGCAGCTATCGATTTTTTTTGCATGCTAGCATGCTAGTTTACATTCATGTCAGTCAGCTGTTGGCCCTCATGCTGGCCAATAGAATCTTCCTGCCTATTCGTGGCAGCCAGCTATAGGTTCCCACTCTGGCCAATACAAAATGGCCGCAAACTACATGAAAACTGGCGTAGAAGCATGAAAAATCGATTATTTCCACTATTGATGGGAGATGTAAAGTTGGTCTTGGCCTTCCCACTAACTTGGAGCGTGTGCATGTTAATTTTGGTGCAAATTCGTCGAAAATTGCGGCCGTACATTCACACGCACACACACACACACACATCCTGCCTTTTATAGATAGAGATATTTAGCTGAAGCCATAAAATTGCATTCAAAATAGACTTTTGCATTAAATAACCCATAGAGGTTGATATGCCACTAAACAAAATCCACCAACCAAATGTTTCAAACTAAATACAGTCATTAGTCTTGACGATTGTGTTCAGCATGAAACAGGCAGTCACCTCTGGGTGGTGATTTTGATATCCACTTTCATATTTATATTTACATGTATTCTATCCATGATATTGAGCACCCATAAATATAACATACCTTAAAACTATATTTTTTATCTAATATATATATATATATATATATATCTCATGAAATAATTACCAATTAACTGGAATGTAGGAAAACAATGACAGTTTTACATTCTATAGTTTTGTACTTTTACAAAAGTTATTAAAAAAAATTACAAATATTGAAATGAAGAAACATTTTAAAAACTCTAAAGGCATTTTTCCAACTATATATTAACTTATTATATTATATATATATATATATATATATATATATATATATATATATATATATATATATATATATAATATCCTTATATATTATTTTAAAAAAACCTAAAATGCTTTGTAAATATCAAGAATACTTCCAGTGGAATAAAATAAAAAAAGAAATTTACAAAATGAAAAGAGAGAGAAGGAAAAAAAAAAAAAGAAATTCTAAAACATGAGTCCTCTGGTCCTCTATATACAGACACTTGTATCAGCCACACCATTTAATTAAATCTTGGATGGTGGGGGGAAGAGGTTAATGGATTAAAAAAAAAGAATATAAAAACGTTTATCCCCAAACAAAAAAGAGGGACCAACCTTCTCTGAGTCTGCCAAAGTGACTATTCCGCATCTTTCTTGAAATGGATGACCCATGGCAACCCATTCTCGCTGGATGAGGGCCTGGAAACCCTGTATTGTTCGATAGTAGGGATCCAAAAGCAACTGCACAAGACTTGATATAAGGCAGGCCAGATCACGGCACCTGGCCTCTGTAAAGATTACACACACATAAAAAAAAGAAAAATTTAAATGAAATTGGAAACTTAAAATTACAAAAAAATAAATAATAATAAAAATAAATAAATAATAATAAAAAAAAATTCTTTACCCAAGGTTCGTACATTAAATTTTTTACAATAAAAATTTATTTTTCACAATTTCCCTTACTGAATGTTTAAGTTCAAAAAGAAAACTTCAACTTATAATACTGAGAAAACAAGAGAGAGACAAAACTCATGCTCCTTTGACAAACAAGTGACTCACCTTTAATTATCACAGATATTTTCTGTTCAATCATCAAGTTGATAATTTTTACAGATAATTTGAGACAGCGTTGAACACAGGTCAGCCATTTTGTCTCTTCTAAACTTGACAACCAAATGCTGTCTTTACTCCAAAAATCCTTTATTAAATCTGGCAAGAAAAAAAAAAAGAAATTGCTTAAGACAGCCTGAGGAAAAGAAAAGCAAAGATGAAAAATAAATGGATCTTGAACAAAGAAAAATGTGCCTGAGCAGAAGCAGAAAGAGATTTCTTAGATAATTAATAGAGAGAAGTTTCTTTTCGGAGGCGTTAAAATTAACAAGCCATTCTTTGCCCCAGTTAACAGCAGATTGTAGGTCATTTTTGCAATCAAATGTTTTGTTAGGTTAAAGGAAGTAGATTTGTTGGTTTAAAGAGAGGGTGTAAAAATTATCTTCACCATCATCTTTGACTCAAAATAGTAACTTTTTTTTTTCTAGCATGGGAAATAAACTTATGTCCATAAAAATGTCTTAATTTCACCAACTGGCATCACCAAAAATTTCTCTCTTTAACAAATTTAATCAAATTTGCTGCTACGGGGTATCAGCAATTGATACTTCATATTTCACATTTTTTTTTTATATATGCACTTTTCTTTGGTGTAAGGTTAATGTTTTGTCTTTCATTGTGTGTGTGTATACTCACACATATCTTGTTTTATTTTAAATAAGCAATAAATTATTGAATAAAAAGCAAAAGAGATACATCCTAGTGCAAATTAATTAGAACATCTGCTTTAGTTTCCTCTCCTTCACCTTATGGTCAGTTTTAGACCTACTGGAGTGACAGGGTGTAATCGATTTTATTTTTCCTCAGATAAGGTCATTTGCAGTGGTGTTCAGTAATATGGATCTGTTTTTGGAGTGTATGATGAAATTTGTTTGGCCTAGAAAAATATTGTGCCATTTGTGATTGCATCAGATTTTCATCACACCCAGATACTATTGTCTTGATTGTCGATTAGTTGTCCTATGGCCATTGTCTGTGATGGACGTTACTCCAAGGAAGTGTAAGAAAATTGTAACGCTGCACAAACATACTGGCAAGCCTTACCAGTAAGCAAATTAAAGTACTATAGACTGGCCCAGAAACTCTCCTGATTTAAATCCAATTGAGAATCTGTGGTCAATCTGCAAGGAACAACTTTGTGGAATGGACATATGAAGTACTAACATGTGCACTGGGTCATGTTTCATTGGAAAATACTTAAGAAAAGTAAATAATAATGGAATTATTCATTTTGTTTCAGTTAATTTTCACAAGGGTGTAGAATAAGAAAAGAAATCACTAACAATTATTGATTAGATGCCTTGTATCTTTATCATGAGAAAGCCTAATGATAATGATTACCTGTCATGCAAAGTTCTCGTATCTTCTCTCCACTGCTGGAAATTTCTTTCAAAGAAGGACAGAAATTAATTAATTCACAAATCTCTACGTCTGTCTTGGTTGTCATTCTCACAGAATCAACAAATCTGAAACATGTCAAAAAGAAAAACAAGTTATGCTTTTTAATCAAAGATTCATGAAATTTTAAGCAAATAATGTGCAGGCGATGTGTTATCTTTTTTTTTTCAATATGATGATCTACAACGAATCATTACTGAATGTCTCACAACAGATTTACTAAATAAATAATCTGTACCAAATGTAAACATTGTAAAGATTTTTTAAATGGACAGCGAACTTGACTGATATCAATATATTTTAGAGTCTCAAAAAAAAAAAAAAAAAAAAAAAAAAAAAAAAAACAAGAAAACCAAATGTGTTCTGTGGCTATGACACACCTAACAAGGCATAGTTTTCATCATAGATACAATAAAACTCAAATATCCAAAAGGTTAAACCTTATGTCAAAATGAGATAATTATTTGAGTTCCCAATTATGTAAATGGATTAATAAACAAAAGATTGAAATATTCCGTTTGAACAACAGGAAAAAGAACTGTTAAACTTGGACGAGTCCAAAGAAGTCAAACAACCATTTTGAGAGAATTGTGCTGTTAAACAGTCTGTTAATGGGTAAATACAAAAAAAAAAAAAAAAAATGTAATTTTTATGCCTATTAAAAAAACACTATAAAAAGTATTTAAAATAGAGCATTCAGAAAAGGAATTTACAAATTATATACTCAATTCAATTTTAACACACGATAATAACTAATTGGTAGAAACCGCAGTAACAGAAAAGTTGAGTTTGTAAATATTCTGTCATATATATATATATATATATATATATATATATATATATATATATATATTATATATTAGGATATTACATCAAAAACATGTCAAAATTGCTATACAATTACAGTTGTGTTTCAATGTGTATCGATGCATCTCATCAGACAATTGTAAATTACTAGTAAGTGAACAATTTATTTAGATTTTATTTTGCTCTGCTTTGTATTGAGTTCTCTTTTAAATTAAATGTTAGGAACATTGGAATTATATTCTAATTGTTCTCATCTTACCTGGAGATATATATATAGATATATAGATATATATATATGTATGTGTGTGTGTGTGTGTGTGTGTCTAAAAATTCAGATATAAATGAAATATGTATAAATATGACAATATGAATAAAAACAAAAGGAAAACTTTCTTTACCAACACATTCAATCCCAAGGGATTTTATTAAGGCATATGTAAGGATTTTATTTTGCAATATGGTATTTATAAAAAGAAGTGGAGGAAAAATATTAAGTTTTTCAAAATTTTTGAAAACACTCTAAAATATTCTTGAAGTTAACTGTAGATAAAGGTAAACTATGGAGAACTCTAAGTGACATAATTCAATGCCTAATAAATGAAAGTGACTAAACATTGAATTTTATTTGCTTACTTGTTCATATATATATTTATTTTTTAATGCAATTATTATATTTTCGTTTGATAAATTATGTATTTATTTATATTAAATAATAGACGGTCTTGAATTATAAGAAAACAGTTATTTTTTTTTAATTTTTATGACAATGTGTGTTGGCTTGGGAAAGGAGAATTTCCTTTATGGAAGGAGATATTTGCTTTTTGCAGTCAATACATTAAGCCTTCATCAATTCTGTGCAAGTAGATGAAATGAAAAAAGAAAAAGTGCTAAACAAATTTCAAAAACCAGACACAATATACACCTGAAGAGGGTGGAAGAATGGGATCAGCCAAGATATAGTGTTAAAAACTACAAAGATGAAGACAATCAATCAAAAAGATAGAGAAAATAATGAAAACATTTTCTTATTTTTCATAATTAGGAAGCTGAAAATCTGAGGAAGAAAAGAATTATGGAGCAAAATTCTGTACACAATGAAAAGATGCGTGCAAATTTCACTTGTTAAAATTCTTTATTCTCATTTCCAGCTTTTTACTTTAATCAAAAAAGAATGGATTAACTGTGATAAAACATATAAACAAGCAAAATTGAAAAAAATTTGCAGTGTATATCAAACAAATTTCCCTACAATTAAGAATTTGGGAAGAAAGAATTCAACAAAATTTATTAAGGTAGAAATCTTACCGGTTTTCAAACGTGCTAAACAAAGAGTTCATGCCTGGTTTAAGACAAGACATGCGTACCAATGATGTCCCTGCACAAGACGTGTAACACCAACACTGACAAAAAAAAAAAACAGAAATAATATTAAGGTATTTAAACAGAATGAGAGAAAACGCAAGTGGGTCATATAAGAGAATTTATTAAAAGCAAGGGAAATAACTCCTGAAACTTAAAAAATAAAAAACCGTGAAAACGCCTTGAAAAATAGCAAATCAAAAACAAAAGAAAAATTAGAAATCAAAATTTAATAAGTTTTTTTTTTTTTTTTACAGACTGATTTTTTAAAATTGTTTTTACACTTCTAAATGTTAATATATTCTTGTGTTCTCAATTGTATTTTGCATTCAGTCTTTTTCCTCTCCATCTATCATCTCTTCAACATGACCTACCAGTTATACAGAAGCATCATACTATAGAAATGGTTGGAGAATGTATCTGCTTAAACAGCATATAAAAAAAAAAACAAAGATTATTGGACATATTTCATCCGAAAAAAACTGAACAATACTTAATGTGTTCTTATTCAATAATTGTTGAAATATATGTACATTTTAAGTTTTCACTCCTTCATTTTTTTCTGAATTGATAGTTTAGATCAGTGATACTTATTGTAGGCCAGAGAAATATTTTAAATGAGCCTAGAAGTACAGATTGAAGAGAAAAGATTTATGCCTGGAACTGAACCAAGGCTTGGAAGATGAACTTAACAAACTGATGGGTAATCATTAGTCAGGATTTAGATTTTCTACTAACTACGGTTTGCTTTTGGAAAGTCTATTTCCTGTGTAAATGGAATTTATATTTGAGTTTATGTGAGCCTGAAACGATTTTTAACACCAAAAATGAGCCTCAAAAAAGAAAAAAAGTTTAGATATTAGTACTTTGAAAAAGATAGCATCAATTATTTTTATCATATGTTATAAATAATGACTTCATATTGGAGAGGAATATTTTAAGTGTAAATGCTAATTTATATTTATAATTTTCTTTTAACACAATTAACTTTTTGATATATTTGTTTTCCTTTCTGGCATTTTTGTTTATTTAATGTGTGTGTGTGTGTGTGTGTGTATATATATATTATTTTATATGGGCAATGTTTATTGGAAAGTGCTGATTATGATAGAGCTAAATATTTAGTTGTATGGATATGAGTTTGTGACCCTGGGTTTCACTCTTGCAATCATCAGACAAACTGTTTATCTGATGATTGCAAAAGCGTGAAACCCAGGGTCACAAACTCATATCCATACAACTGTGTATGTGTATATATATATATATATATATATATATACACACACACAGTTTGTCTGATGATCGCAAAAGAGTGAAACCCATATATATATATGTAAGCAAATATATGGATATAGATCCAACAGTATGAAGAAAAATACAGAAAAAACAAACAAAAATCTTAATATGCTATTATGCTGTATTAATGTTAATATAAAGTTGACGTCAGAATGGTAGTTGGAGTGTGCTTCCACTGTTTATAAAATCTCAAATAGCCTCTGATACTTAAGTTTGGCACTGAAGCTGGAGAAAGGGTGAAAACTGACTACTGGCACCTCATAACTAGCTGTTTCAGGTAGATGGATCTTGTCAGCCCAGGACGGCAGTCCATCTAGGGGAAGTAAAATCCTGATTTTAAGCCTTCACTGTCCTGTAGTCATATCTAAACATGGAAAAGGAAGCCTAGACAGAAAATCTGGAGTCGATCCTCAGAGTCAGTTGACTATCAACACTGACATGTATTCCTGTGTTTCTTTAAGATTTTTGTCAGTATAGCCAAGAGGCAGGGTCATGTGGCTTGAGTAGCAGATCGTCTCTATATATCATCACCCTGGAAAGGTCAATCTAATCTCAACAGCAAAGGACTAAATTTTCACTAAACAAGGCACTAAATTTATCTCACGAGATAAATGGATATCTATGAGTTTTAAAAGAATTGCTCTTTGAACAGAAATTCTGCAATTTGAGTAAGGCTTCCCAATTTATTGTTGTTTCCCCAAAAAGGAAATTTGGATTACTTCTCTTTGACCAACTGCAAGGCACTGAGAATATATTGTAATTTTCTTTTTGGTTTTTATCAGCAGTTTCTATACACTAAAAATATTAACTTGACTCCTTACACAAATTGAGTGGGAAGCTGTTTGAAGAGATCATTAAATGAAAGTAAGGAAAAAAAAATAAAATAAAGGAGAAAAAAAAGACACTAACAAAAATAAACAGCGTGTGTTTGTTTTATATATATATATATATATATATATATATATATATAAGTGGACACTGAAGTCAACACATATAGGTGACAGTTTCATGTTAAACGCAATCATCAAGCCATGTGTGTTGTGCTTAAGCGCAACTATTTATATATGAGCAGGTCAGTGATGCATTGTGCGTAATCAATTGTATCATTCTAATAGATGTTTTGGTGGGCATTAACAGTTGTTTTGAATTATTTTAGGGGCTATTGAGTGGAAATAATTGTGGATCTGAATGCAGTTTTTTCACTATTTATAGTGTTGTTAGTTAACTTTTTTTATTTATTATTTTATTGTTTGTTGTTATTACTATGTTTTTATGTGTTTATCTGTGCATACATGATTTGTTTATTGTTTACTTATTCATTTGTTGGGATTAATTTATTTTACTTGTTTTGTTTTATTTTATTTATTCATTTATTCTTGCTTGTTTTCAGTTTTAGATTTTTAAGTAACATAGTAAAAATTTGTTTTCATGTCTGCATTTTGAGAGAAATTCTGATCATTTATTTAGTAGGTTGTTTTGGTCTGGGATGGTAATTATGGCTATTTTCCTCCAGGCAGAGTTTACAGTTTTTGGATCGACTCTTGTAGGCTGATGTTCTTTTCCTTATTTTGCATGATATAGTTTGTTAGTTTGTTTATTTACTTATTTGTATTAATTTATTTTACTTGTTTTTCATTATTTATTTATTAGACTGTATATTTTTATTTACTCTTTTCAGTTTTTAAGTAACGTTATATAACAATTATAGCTATGTTTTTCGCCTGATTTTTGGTTTGATTTTGATAGTTTAACTAATATTTTGGCCATATTGGTTTGTTAATTTGTTTATTATTTACTTTATTTATTTGGGTTCATTAATTTTGTTTTTTATTTTCTATTTATTTATTCTATTTCATCTATTATAACGGGTGAGATTTGGTAATTTGTTTCGGTTAATTTATTTTACTTATTTTATTATCATTTTGTTTATTTATTTATTTATTTTTTTTCAGTTTTCAATTTTTATGTAACACAGTAAAGATTTGTTTTCATGTCTGCATTTTGAGATGAGTTCAGATCGTTTATTTAATAATTTATTTTGGTTTGGGAAGATAATGACAGCTATTTTTTTTCTCCAAGCAAAGTTTGCAAGTTTTGGATTGGTTGTTGTAGGCTGATGATCTTTTCCTTATTTTCCAAGATATTTTTGGTGTGATGTGTGCTTTGTTTTTAATTTCCCAGATATATTTAGAAAGCATTGTGGTGTTCACATATTTACTATTAGTGAAAGAGGTTTTGTGTGCATAATTTCTTTGTTTCCAGGGTCCTTCAGTTACTCCTATGTATACTTTTTCTTCATTATCTGGTGATTTTATTGTGACTTGGTATATTACATTGTTTTGTAAGCAATTACCATTTAAGGGACATTCATTGTTTATTCTGCAGTTACATGTGGGTTTAGTTTGTTCGTGTGGTTTGTTGATAGTTTTCCTGTTGTGCTTTTTTATTATTTGTGCCATGTTCTTGGTGCAACTGTAGCTGATTTTTACTGTGTTTTTGTTGAATATTCTGTGTAGGGTGCTTGATTCTGGGAAGTGTTTGTTTAAGAGTTTGAAGAATATATTCCCTATGTTTGTTTTTATGTTTTTGCTGTATGGTGGGTTGAACCATATGGTATTTCTTTTCCTGTTGGCCTTTTTTTGTGTTCTGTGGTGAGTATGTGAGTGTTGCTGGAAATCCACTATATTTTAGGGCTGTTTCATAGTCTTTCTTAGCTTTGTTAAATATGGATTCATTGGAGGAATTGTCGGAAAGTCTGCGGTTAATTGATTTTGGTATCTGTTTGACTATAGAAGGCAGGTGATTGGAAGATGTCCGTATATAGAGTGGTTTATCATTAGGTTTTCTGTATGGTTTATATGTGCCTTATCTTAGGTCGAAGGTAACATCTAGAAAATCTACTTCCTTTAGCTATGTCGAATCAGTTATTTTTGCAAATTTTCATTATAGCTTTTCTAGTTTTGTCTGTGTTTTGTTTGTTGCAGTTTCTTAAGATTATGAGACCATCGCCCCTGGAGAGTCCTGTCATTTCTATCTATTATTTTGCTTACTTCATGGAGTAAGTATATACCTATGATTTCGCAGGTCTTTGCACCGTCAAAGCTTCCCATTGTAGTGTCAAAGACCCCATCTTTCTTTATCCATGCTTCATCATTGTGAAATAGTAATGGTTTATGGGAGTATTTAATGATGTTGATTTTGTTAGGTTTTATTATTATATGTTCCTGAGCTAAGTTGATGGCCTGATCTAGGATGGGTTCTGTTATGGATGGATAAAATTCTTTTATGTCTAATTGTAGGAATTGGCAATTTTGTTTGTTGTTTATATTGTGGAACCAATCAATAGTTGATTTTGTATTTTTCACTGGTTTACTTCTAACTTCTTCCTAAGTTCAGAATTAATTCTTTCTAGTATCGTTTTACTTATTTTCCTAATTCGCTTTTAGATGGATTTATGAGTCTGCATGCAAGGTTGGTTTTAAAATTTTCTTTTGTGGACTTTTAGTGTGATAAAGGCTTGTGCCATGCTGACTTACCAATAATCTGTCATCTTCAAAACGAGATGCTGTATCCAAAAGTTCCGCGTCATTTACATTTCGAGGCACAACAAAATATTTAGGCAAACTAAAATGAAATAAACAATTAAAAATTGATATATATAAATATATATATATATATATATATATATATATATATATATATATATATATATATATATATATATATATATATATATATATATATATATATATTATTTAAATAAATTGTTGGAGGTACAAAAACATAGTATTGCAAGGAAAAAGTATGAATTATTTCTCAAAGGCATTATGGAAACAAAAATAAAAAATAAGAGATGATAACAAACAGACCAACGGTTTGTTTCCCAAGCTCATCAGGGTCGACTGGGAACTATTTCTCAATAATTGCAATATAAATAAACTCACATCCTACATACAATTAAAATCTTAAAAATGAAAAGATTAATGGTATGAAAAAAAAAAAAAAAAATACATAAATATTATATATATATGTCCTTTTTCTCTTTTCAACTGTGCAAATATGCACAATAAACGGAGGAGGAAAAAAAAAAAAAAAATAAAAAAAATATAAACGGAGTGTGAGGGGAGAAATTGTGAAAAACACTAGAGAATAATGACGTGAAGCCCAAGGAGACAATCTCTTTGCTTACACAAAGATGGATCCCTGGACTGAATGTATAGAGACTCTAGTGCTTTCAAATGGAAAAGAGAGTGCGAACTGGATAGAACTGTGAACCAATTCGAACTAAAGTTCTTCGCACAATCCCTGCAATTTATTAAGTGCTCTGTGATAGCTGAACCGAAGTATTAACCAACTGGCTCTTACGAGCTTCCGGATTGAGAACTCGTAATGGAACATGCTGCCTGATCCTACAATCTAAACGTTGGGAAGTCCTTCCTATGTAGTTGCTACAACCACATTTAAAAAAATATATCACAGAGGAGACATGATGGGGAGGAAGAAGATCCTTGCACATAGAGGGAAAGGCAGAACGAGTCGCAAAATGAATTCTCAGTTGAGCAGAGAAAAAGCAGTCATGGACGGCTGACGAGATACGCTTAGCCAAAAGCTCACCTCGGGAACCAATGAATGGAAGCCGTAAATACACAGGACATTTCTGAACACTGTATTGTTTTTCCTCTGTATTGAGAGAGAGAGAGACCCTTTTCGGCAACACTTTAGAGGGAAAATTGGAACACAATTAAAAGAAAATTTTAATTGTAAACAAATTGATGACTAAAAACAAAATAAAAAGGTTCCCCCCCCAAAAAAATACTATTTACAAGTGTGTCATTGATTATTTTGTTCTATTTGCCAACATTCTCCTTTTGAGAGCATGTTAGCTGAAAGGGTCTCCTAAAAAGAAAATGATGCTCTCTCTCTATTTAAGTCTATTTTCTTCTTCTGTGGGTGTGTATGTGTGTATATATATATATATATATATACATACACATACACAAACAATTATAGATCCCCTGACCGCACTCTACTAATGAATAAAGAAAAAAAAACATAACAGTTTAAAACATTAACTCAGAAAAATTAAATCAGCTACTTTCTGTAACTACATGCAAATAGAGTTCGGGGAGTGTTTCAGTCATGAAATTGACAGTCATCATGCAGTGTTGATGACTACGTTTTTTGCTTGGTCAAAGCAATCTAGCCTTCAAGGACTTTACTGAGTCGGTAAGTTTGCTTTTGGGCCTTTTTTCTCTCCTTTTTTCTTGTTTTATTCAGAGTTTTAGGTTGTCTGTTGGTTACACCAATGGTTTTCGTTTTCTTATATATATATATATATATATATATATATATATATATATATACACACACACACACACAAGTATGTTTCATTGAATAATACAGACATATGTCTATTTATTTTTATAATAATCCTTTCTAATTCATCTCTCCTACAGTACCTTCCTTGATGAATTTCAACTTAACATCAAGAAGCTCATTAGAGAACTAGAAAGGATTATCATGAAAAAAAAAATAGACATAATATGTCTATATTATTCAATGAAACATGCATAAATGAAAATATACTGCCTATATATATATATATATATATATATATATATATATATATATATATATATATATATTACATACACACTTACAAATGAAGACTGATAGTAAATATCAACATGCAAAACTGAACTCTGACCTGGTGGACATGTTAAAATTTTCATTAACATCAGTAACCCTCCATGCATCACTGCAATGTAATCGATGTATTTCATGTTCCCAGTCACTTCTTTTAGAGAACATTGGAACATCAACTGCAAGGTGAGAATCTGCAAAAACAATTTTTTTTTTTTACTAATAAAAAGCAAAATAAAAAACCTTTGTTTAGTATTGATTAGCATGCATTTTCTTCTCATTTGATTAGTGAACAGATGGACTAACGATTGCAAGGCATGAAGGACTTGATCAAGACCTATGAAGACAGTCCATAAATTAGATATGGTAGAGTATTTACCTACTTTCCTACATGAGATGTGTGTCAGCCTCAAGAACATGTTCCACTATCAAAGGGGTAAAAATCAAATTTGTCAAATCTTTTTTTTTCCTACACTGACTTTCATTTCAAACAATTTTCTTTCCTTTATCTTTCTTACTCACCCTTCACAGATTTTCCCTACTTCCGCTTTTCCCTATTATGCTGGTGTGTAGAAATGAACAAATAAGCACTTGATAAAATATATATATATATATATATATATATATATATATATATATATATATAAAAGTGAACATAGTCAACACTTAGAGGCGACAGTCTGTTTCATGCTATATGCAATCGTGGCCTGATGATTGCATATAGCATGAAACAGACATTCACCTGTAAGTGTTGACTTCTATGTTCACTTTTATATTTACACATGCTCTATCTCTGATATCGAGCACTTTATCACATAAATATAGCACACCTTAAGACCATATTTCTTCATATATATATATATATATATGAAAAAAGACAAAAGGAAAACTTATTTTAGCCAATGTGTTCTGTTCTCTGGAGGACTTTATAAAGGCAAAAGTAAGGTCTATACTTTGTAACAAGTATTTATATACAAGAGTAAAAATGTTATTGTTTTTTCAAAATTTTTTGGTATAGGGGTGCTCATGAATATTCCTCAGGTTGGCAGAAAGGTCAGGCAAGTTCATGGAAGTGAGGTCATACAGTTCAATGCTAAATAAACAAAAGTTAGTAGGAGGTGTTTTTTTGTTTTTATATATATTATAAATTAATTGATTTAAAATATGTTTTTTTTGCTACACAGTTCTAACCATATTTCCAAAATGGAAGCTAAAAGCTTCGGATTTAATTTTGTAATTAAATTAAGGACATTAGTTCCATTTCATCCTCAAGCGAATTTTTGAGTAACTTTTAAAATTACTGGGTTTTAAAGACACAGCTAAAATCATAATTCACATTTCCAAGGTTACAGATAAATCCACTTCCACTAGACAAGGGATGTCTGTGTGTTCATTATGTCTTTATTTTGATGTATCAGTTATTAGTTACGTTTTGCTAGGGGGTAGGGATGTATTTTTCAATGAAACCTAACATCCGTTAAATGCATGTCGTCTGGATTTTTAAAAATTTTAATTGTTAACGGCAAAAATTCTTACGGCATTTTTTTTTTATTTGTATATTTAAAGATTTTGGGGTTTTTTTTTTTGGTGAGAATACGTTTTATTTAACTATGATTTGAAATATTTTCACTTTTAATTTTTAATATACTATATTTCTTTTAAGAACAATTAAATGTAATTAGAATCCCTTACAGTATGTAGAATTATTTTCACATCAAGTATAAGTATGTATATTATTAGGTTACAAATTTTTTTTTATATTTAAATATTATTTAAGTAAAATTTATGACAATGACGGCAAAACTAGCTACTTGATTTCACTGATTTAGTAAACTATATATATTTATTTATGCAGCAAATTCTTTTTCAGGCATGTCTGATTGAATAAGTTACAAACGTTATAACTGCTTATTTTGATCATAATCCTTTCAAATTCAAAAATATTTTTCTGTCTATTACAATTACATGTGGCAAGAAATGCACTGTAACAGTGAGAATAACTTTTATTATCCAAGCACTTTCCATCTCTTTCTGCAATCATCATCATCAGAGGTGCAAAATTGGTAAGGTAAAAAAAATGTGTAGCTATCAATTGCACCCTTGATGATGATCTCAGTAAGAGATGGAAAGTACTTGGGTAATAAAAGTGATTCTCACTGTTACAGTGCACTTCTTGAATTATTTAATTGTAATATATGGAAAAATATTCGTGAATATGAAAGGATTATGATCAAAATAAGCCAACATGATGTTTCTAACGTATTTAATCATATATATATATATATATATATATATATATAAATAAATTAGTACTTTGGATTAGAATGGATTTATGCATTATATGTTTTGAATAACATGAGTTTAAGGGATTTAACCATTTCTTTTTTTTTTTCATTTTTGTGGTCATGTATCTAGGTTTGTGAATGTAGTAATTCTTTCAGGAAAGGAGATATTAGGAAGAATCCAGGCTGCAGATTTAAATTTTGATAAGATTCGATAGCAGCACTTTTGAGAATTTTCCTTCAAAGTGTTACTTCCTTTTTTAATAGGTGTGGCATTCACCACATATAATGGACTCTCCTGTTCGTTTTCAATGTATGAGGATCTAACAACTTAATTGATTCAGTTATGAAATTTTGTGCGATAATCTTAAGTGGCACTTAAGACCCACTAGTGATTTACAAAGGAGACTACATATGGAGCAAGAGTGAGGATTGTGAGATGAGATGACTGTTAGATTGGCTGACCTTTTAGATCTTGCTCTCTCTTCTTGAAGATGATTCAGACAAGCAGATTGGAAACTGCCGAGTCCACGAAAACATGTTGATCTCCATTCTACCCACTCCAAGGCTAAGCGCTCATATATATATATATATAGAGAGAGAGAAAGGGGGGAGGGAACCATAGTCAAGATCATCAAGTCAACACAAACAATCCTTTCTTTAGCTGAATAATATGTGCTTCGCCAGGACTACATAGTTTTTAATTCAGAATTTTCCTTCTCCTACAGTGATTGTCACCCAAGGCTATAGAACTCAGCATGTGCTATTTACCCATAGCTGGGAGAAGAAGGGTTGGATTCATATTTTTCTCAAGTGTATTAGCACATAAGTGAATATAATGAACTCGAGTGGAATTCAAACTCGGCTCTCCAATTCCTCAATTCTAGCCATAATTCATTACTCTATCATGCATCCTAGACATTCCCTAGTGGGGAATTGAACCCCAGTCTCCAGCATGACAGGTGGGGATACTCACCACTATACAAAAAGGAAAAAAAACTTCTCACGCCAGAAATATATATATATATATATTATTAAATTTTTTTTATTTGTATTTTTTTTCTTATACTAATATATGCACATAAAATATGTTATGGCACCCAATGCAAGGAAAGACTCTAAACCCAAGCAGATATTGTTATGCAAAATAAACAGACCACATTAAATAAAATATCATTCACCTCAGGAGATGGTATCTTGAAGTGCACATGCCGTATTCAATATTCACATCTATTATATTAGTATAAGAAAAAAATACAAATTATATATATATATATATATATATATATATATATATATATGTAGACAACTGTCAAGGTTCTATGATTAAACTTATTCAATTTTTCTTGCATTCGTACAAGTGTTTTCTTTCCTGGACTAAAAGTGAGTAAAAATTGTCCAAATGGTCTATATGTCCGAGCAATTTTAGTTATTCTATTAGCCATTATCAAGGACGTTTTTATTTTATTTTATCTGAATATGTTAAGATTTATATATACTTCTATCTATAGTGAAAGGAACATTTATTTTCCAAATACAGCTAGCATGTTGCAACCATGTTCATAGTTGATACTATTGATTGTTAGCTTTTTCTTTTACTATTAAAGCTTCGATTACTTTTAGCCATTTTTTATCTGTGAACGAGGCTATTATGGCTGTTTCCACAAATATGTTGTGGACAGAGTTTGGTAGGTTTCCATGTATGTTTAAATTAGGTCCTAATTGAGCTATGGTCTGAGAGATGTAACACGAGTCTTCTTGATAGGCATGTAGTTGTATGTCCAATATGATTATTCATGGATTTCTTCTGATCATGAACTCAGTTCCCTAAGGGATATGTAAATTCATAAATAATACTGGTTCTCTGTAATTTGGATCTTGCAGGGGAGTTGTTATTGTTGAGGTTGACAATGAATTTATGGTCAGATATTGTTAAACTGGAACATACCTATTCTATTGTTAATAGACTCTCCCACATATAATAAGTAGTAGTAGTAGCAGTCGCGAAGGAGCTCAGTAAGTTGGTGAGTCAGTCGATGTCGAACATTAAAGTATCAACCACCACAACTAGATTGCTGCGTCATTAACTATTATAACAAGTTCCTAACGTTTTATACATCGAACTTTTTTAGGACCGACTTAGTGAAATACAAGCCTCCACTGTGAAACTACTCTACAACAGATATATAGAGTATTTGGACAGTTTTTACACACTATGTCCAAAAAAAGAAAAACACTTGTACAAATTGCAAGAAAAAATGATTAAAACACTTAATTGCTTAATTGTCTTTAATGAAACTTGTATAAAAGAGACATTGCTGCCCAAATACAAAATACGTATATATATATATGTGTTCATATTTGAAACACAAAGTAGTTTCTAAGGAATTAATGGATTTTATTTATAATCCAACACTATTTCTTATTTCTTTAAATATTATATAAAGTGAATAGTGATGTTTAAGCAGATGTCTGCTTTTTTAAACTGTAAAATTATGTCTACCAAACTGTGTGTTAAAGTTTAGCATGCTATTATTTTTAGTGGGGAAGTGTATCTCAGCTCCGACTTCCAGTGGTTGATTTTCGAAGTCAGATGTAAGACATAATAGGAAGTCGATTTTGATTGGCTGAGCTAGTGCGGGAACAAGATAGAGAAATATTTTTCAGAAAGTTGTTTCTTGACCATCAAGCAATGTAGACGCATTCTCTTTCATGTCTAAAACGGCTCCACACTGAAGGGGAATGACCCCCCCACCACTGGATAGTTAGTACATGTCAACATTAATAAAATAGTGAAGTTAAAATTCTCTGTGTTGAGTTCTTTCACCTCCGGACCCAAATATTTAGCAATTTCCCATCCAGGAGAAGACGAGACAGAGAATGCAACATGTGCATTCAAGAATCTTAATAAAGAAAATTTGCCATCCATCCCTGTTAAGCACAGTACACAAGAAGACATTTTCTTTAAGACTCTCAAATGCACAGGCCATTAGATGCAAATTTACACTGTTTAAAAAACAAATATCTACTCAAACACATGCAGGTACTAAATATAATATTTAAAATAATCAGAAATATATATATAACTTAAGTGGAAATGCCTTTTATCAGCATATTACCCAAGTTGCTTTTTGAAATATTTGCTTAGTCATAAGGCCTTTGTTAACAATTTATGTCATCTGACTGCCTTCCCTCAGTAATTATGTATGACATACATCTGGGCTGTGAGTTTCGGATGAGTTTTGAATTTACTAAATAAATTGTTCAGATTAAATAATAATTTGTAGCAAATTCATAAAGATTCTGACATACCAAGTGATATAGAATTGAAAAATTTTTAAGTAAGTTATTATTGCTGGAAGTAAACAAGTATTTCAACTTTTCTGATAATTACAGTTTAGAACATAATTATCACATTCAGTTGGAAACTCAGGCGTAACATGAAATGTGGAGCAAGTTGAACTTTAATGTTATTTAAAGTTTTCAGGGTGTTACCTTAATTTGTAATATACAAGTTTGCTCCTTTTCAGTAACCTTTACTAGAAGATTATTTTTCAAAATTACTTTTTTCACTATATATATATATATATATATATATATATATATTTTATTTTAGGATATTACACTGAAAACCTGTCAAAATAGCTACACAGTTGTAGTCATGTTTCAATGTGTATCAATGCATCTCATCAGGTGATTGTAAATTAACGTAAATTTACAATTTTTTTTATTATATGAGGCTGGATAAAAAAAAATGTACATATCAATCCCCCCGCACCAGCAATACTTTTATAATACCCTTACTTTTCTTCTCTTTTCCCTTCTTCACATTCACCTCCTCCCTTTCTATTACACCCAACACCATGCATTTGTTTATTTTTTTTTTTTTTTAATGATATCACGTTCATTAGATTTTTTAAAAGAATAAAGTGTTAAGAGGTCATCGTCAGAGGATAGCTTAAGGTTGAAACCAAGGTAGGTGATTCAAGTAATCTCCTGATTTTTAAAGTATATATATATATATATATATATATATATATAATTTTAATGTGCACACCACTTATATTTACATATGCCTCATCCCAGATATTAAGCATTTTTACTCCATAAATACATCATACTTTAAAAATATATATATATATATATATATATATATATATATATATATATATATATATGAAGAAATATACTCTTAAGGTGTGCTATATTTATGGGATAAAGTGCTCAATATCACAGATAGAGCATGTGTAAATATAAAAGTGAACATTGAAGTCAACACTTAGAGGCGGCTGTTTCATGCTAAACGCAATCGTCAGACCACATGTCTATATATATATATATATATATATATATATATATATATATAGAGAGAGAGAGAGATAGTGGTCAATATATATATTACCAAGATGATAAAATCCATGTACAAAACATAGCAAGAATATTATATAAAATGCTCAAACACTAATATTCTATGGTTATAATTTATTACATTGGAATCATAATCACTATCCAATTCATTAGACCTACAAATTCAAAAATTTTGAATTTGTAGGTCTGATGAATTTGCTTATGATTCCAATGTAATAAATTATAACCATGAAATATTAGTGCTTGAGCCTTTTATATGATAAAAATATAGTTTTAAGATCAACTATATTTATGGGTAAAAGTGTTCAATATCAGAGCATATATAAATATATATGCAAATTTATACAACTACATGTAAAAGATTACTACCCTTCTATACCTGAAAACATGCTAGATAAAGCCATCTCCTTAGATGAAGAAAGTAGAAACCTTTGATGTTACAATGGGAAGATTTGATGGTGCATTTTGCAAGCTTTTAGGTTTATATTTATTACATACACTAAGTAAAATAATCAATAAAAAATTATATAATCCTCTATATGGATGATGGTCTCATACTTCTAAGTAACTAGAAAAGAAAAAAAAAACCCAGAAAACCAAAAAATAATCATAAAAATTTTCAAAAATATGTATTCAACAGACATAAAAACAGACCTAAAAATAGATTTCCTAGACACACTACCTGACAATAGTTATATATCAACTATATAGAAAACCTAATGGCAAACCACTTTACACACATCTTCCTACAATCTGCCATCATTTATCAAGCAGATCCTACAGTCAATTAACAACAGGTTATCTGACAATTCCGAATGCTGTGCATTGAAAAATTAAAAAAGGGATCAGGAATTAACCTTTACCATGCTGCAGGTGACATATGTCCCCCACTAGAATTCTCTCCCTTCACTACTCTAGGCACATTCTGTCACCTTGAAACAGTTGCTACAAATAAATACTTGTCAACTGTTATTTTCAGTATTTTAAGCTGGAAATCACCTATTACTACTTTTGAATGAGGCTAAAAAACCACTTTCCAATGCCATTTTGAATTTTTCTAGACTCTACACGAGGTGTAAGATTGATTAAACCCACATTAATTTTTCATGATTTTGGGTAAACGAAAATGGCTGCGTCAATATCCAACAAAACCTGTATTCAGGAGTCTTTCTTTGATTAGGACTCCGACGATGATTTTGAAGGCTTTACTCAAGTGGATATTGACAGTGAAGTGGTCAAAGATGATAACAATGCTAGTGACATAGAGGAAAGCGATGATGACTACTAGCAGCTACTATCATCCATGCCTGACTAATTTCATGGAAGCTACTGGCAATCATCGATATACCTGATAGCCTTTCTAAAGGTGAATTATTTTGTCTATTTATAAACGTCGAAATAATAACTTTATTCGTCAACAAGAATATGTCAATGAGACAAATGAGTCAGATGAAAGAAAGAGCAAACAAATGCTAGTGTCTTTTCATATGTAAACACGAGGAAACACGTCACTTTTTTTTTACAAAATGAAAGCCTTCTTAGGGATTTTGATTCTTATATCACCCCCAGAACTCCACAAGGAGTAGTAAAAATTAAAGCATGTTGAATTATGTATTTTTTAATGTATTTGTTTTTTATTTCAAATTCATTCTTTTATTAGTGCACAAAAATTAAAATCTATATGCACAATACAAAGAAAGTTACAACAATTTTAAAACAGGTGTTCATGTTTTTGCACCCTTAAAAAAAAATACAGTGGCAGGGGAGACAACTCTAGAAAAAAATTAGAGTGGTAAAGCATTTATGACAAAATAAGGTGAATATGTATCATATATAATCTTTAACAATATACTTATAAATTAATCAATCTTAAAATAGTTAATTTGCTAAGTACACATGTCAACAAGTAGCTCAAGAATTAAGTTTCATTTGTTGCTTATGAAAAAAATTTTCCATTTGAAGTTCAAATCTGCTATGCAAATATAATAAAAGTAGAAAATATCACTAAAGTGAGAAGATACATCAGTTTTAACATGTGAACAAAATAAGCAAGCAAGTACACACATTCATTATGTCAGTTATGTGCCATGTACGATACACGCTTAGGCGATCATGTATCTTTCAATAAATGACTGACTAGGCAATACCCCCCCAACCCCCCTCCAGTAGGTTGCCATTTCTTTCTGTGGTAGGTCAGTTGCCACCCAAGACTACAGAACCTGGTCTGTCCTGCCATTTACACATAGCTGAGGGAAGAAGATGAGGATTCATAATTTTCCCAAGGGTATTAGCACGTAACTGGATTCAACTGGAATTCAAACTCAGTTCTCCGATTCCTCAATCCGAGCCACTATCCATTACTCCACCATACCTCCAATGCAGTAATTTTTCTATCAATATCTTAAAGTACACCCATTAAAATACTGATTAGAAAATTTAATGCATAGAAACAGAACTAATTCATTGATTAAGCAGCATAGATATTTTATTTATTAATATGTATCATTAATATAATAATTTGTATTTATTAATATGTTCAATAAACATATGGAAAAGTAATTAAAAAGAAAAAAACTGTCAGCTGTAATTTGTGACATGTTGAATGGGAAATAAATACCTGGGTCTTCAATTTCCGAAGCATATTCAAAGGCAAACAGAAGACTTCCTCTGCCTGGGAAGGCATGAACAGAAATATGCCTGAGGAGCTGAAAGACAAAATTTAAATATTTAAAAAAATAATTGCATTACATAACAGCAATCTCAAAAGAAAATTATTGGCAGTGCCAGTGGCATAAGCAGTTGTAGCATATGAATTTTATTGAAGTTTTTTTCATGTGTACAAGAAATTTATTTTGAGGTCATGGTTTTTGTTTGTCTTATTACAAGGTGCATTCAAAAAGGATACATAATTGATAATGGCTGATTGGCAGAAGGTGCTTGGATTAAAAGATTATTTGGACAGTTCTTATTATGTCCAAAAAAAAAAAAAAAAAAAAAAAAAAATCTCTTGTACAGATGTAAGAAAAATATAATAAAATGCTTAATGGTGCTGCCTTGTCAGACATCTCCAATGAAACATACATACATACATATATATATATATATATATATATAAGTGAATAATATAGATGTTTACAAATCATAACTTTATTCAATACAGAGCCTTTAACTTCTATGTTCCAATTAAAGAGGGAGAGGGGAGAAAAGGGGGGTTAAATAAATCCTAAAAACCAAACAATATTCACCCAAAGAAGGCTGAAGATTGTATCAGTCAAAAGGATTATTAGCTGCTTTAAAACATAATTAATCTGATTTGAAATAAATATTTATTTAAGTTTAAAATATCACAGAAATGCATTTTTACTTAATATAATCTGAAAGGGAGAAATTAATACAGAATTTTAAAAGATTTAAAACTTAATAAAGTATTCTAATTAAAATTTAAAAAAAAAATTAAAACAATTCTTGTAAAAACTTATTCATCTAAAAAAATTTTTTCTTATGTACTTAACATATCTTATTTATTTATAAAAGCAATTAAAAGCTTCTCTAATTAAATAATGTCTTCCTTTTTTTACAGTTCAGACTAGGATTTCAGTAAACAGTGTTTTATAAAAAAAAAAATTGATTTAATCTCTCCAAGTTCTGTTTTTAACTAATATAAATATTAAAGGGGTGAAATTTAATTTTATGAAATTTAATTTTGCGAAATTTCATAAAATTAAGTAGGGGATAACAGATGGACAAAATCAAAATGAAAAAAAAAAAATTCTAAAATAAATCATTTGTGAATAAATCTGGGACATTTCATTAAAATCTGATAGTTATTCAATTTTTGTAAGAATTTCCAAATTGGTGCGTTTTTTACTGCAAAAAAGATGCTAAGTTTTCGATACTAATCTTTAACATCCTGCTGATGCCAGAAAAACAAGATTTTTAACCAATATTTCAAACATGCTAGAAAGGATTAAAAAATTTAATTAAATAATCAAAAATACTTCTCTCTTTCCTACTTTAGTCTTCCCTCTAATAATAATTTTTGACAATAAAATTTTGTTTTTTTATCAAATTTGGGACATTTTTTCATCATGGTATGCTCTTTTTCAGCAAATTAGTGGAGGTACCTACAATAGTATTACTTAAAGTCATTCATGTAAATAGTTGGGTTGCTCGAACTTTCTGTTTGACTGTGACATTATAACATGATTATATACACAAGCTTTAGCATAGTGGTGTAGACTAGCAGCCGTTGCCTAGGAGAAAATAACATCAGCATAAGAAAACATTCAGATTTTTTGTTTAAACATTTATTAGGGTTGCAGAGCATTTTGCAAACAAAACAGAAAAAAAAATCAAGTCTCATTTTTAACTTCTATTGTTTGGTTATAATAATAATAATAAAATACTTTAATTCAATTTGACCTCTAGTAATCTAGAATGACTTTGTCATCACCACCCATCATCTTTTTCTGTCCAAATTACTCCCTCGCCCTGGGTATGACGATAAACTACGTCCAACAGCAAGGCCTCTGATCAGGAGGTTTTGAGGAGCGTGGAACCACCTCTTAATTGCTGGTGTTCCCAGGTCCACCCTAACCCAGGGTGGTAGCTATGGGCAAATAGTTAAACTGAGGTAAAAAGCATTATAAAAGTGTAAAAATAGCTTTTAATACCAGAAATACAGTATTTACATTAGTGGGACTATTGTCCTCATCTTTGTCGCCATATTTGTCACAACGTTTCGGCCGTTATGCGCTCCGGCCTTCTTCAGGTGGTTGGAATTTGAACTGAACCCTTTATTTGATCACTGGGGTAGACTGTTCTAATTCCCGTGCCATGTTTGATGGATGTCAGTTATCAGTTATCTCCTGCTAATTTTCCCTCTGAAAGTTCTCCACTGCCTTAACCAGGAATTGAACTCACCTTCTTTGGGTCTGTCACTGGATCTAACCAACGCCTTTATCCACTGTGCCATGTGTCTCTCTCCATATGTGGTCAGCCACGCCTGATTTTTCTACTTCCCCCTCGTTACAGCTTTCTGGTGTTCTTGAAGCCTTACCTTGAGGGGCGGCCTGTCTCTCCTTTATATTCCTTTCCTTGGCTGCATGGGATAGCGTACACACAGTCTTTAGTCATGTTCCTCTCTATGGGGGTCTCACTCGTGAGAGATACCTATGAAGTGTTGTCACGCTTTTGAAGGTTGTCCTGATGTTATATGGACCGCAGATCCTTTGTATTTTCTCTGATAACCCCTTCACATAAGGCAGGCAGACTGTTTTCTGAGTGTTGAAGGGAGATCACCGCCCCCTGTGGGATCATGTTGAGATCATAGATAGGAACACCATTGGAAAATTCATAAACTTAAGGAATCAGCACATATGCTAGACCACAAAAATCTCCTGAGCCGACCAAGCATAGAAATAAATACAATATGGGAACCAGTAATAAGGAGTGCCAGAGAAAAGCAATGATAACAAAGTTGCAATATGAACTCTGGTAAAGACATGCAATGATAACAGCAAAAAATTGCAATATGAGCACTGGTAAAAATGATGCTGAAAACATTAGGTTTATAATACTCAAGTTCATACCTCAAGGACACATGGCACAGTGGATAAAGGCGTTGGTTAGATCCAGTGACAGACCCAAAGAAGGTGAGTTCAATTCCTGGTTAAGGCAGTGGAGAACTTTCAGAGGGAAAATTAGCAGGAGATAACTGATAACTGACATCCATCAAACATGGCACGAGGAATTAGAACAGTCTACCCCAGTGATCGAAATAAAGGGTTCAGTTCGAAATTCCAACCACCTGAAGAAGGCGGAGCGCATAAACGGCGTAAACGTTGTGACAAATATGGCGACAAAGATGAGGACAATAGTCCGACTAATGTAAATACTGTACATAATACCTCATCTCAGAAATACTTTGTAAAATATCATTACCAGAAATAAATTTTTGAAGAAAAAAAACTATTACCTGCAATATATTTTTGAAAAAACATTACCAGCAATATGTTTTTGAAAAAAAAAAAAAAAAATATATATTATATTGTTTTAAAATAATATTACCAGCTATACATTTTTGAGAAAAAAATATTACCAGAAATAGATTATTGACAAAACAATACTAGCAGGAAAAAAAAAAAAAGTTGTCGGCATTAAATAACCCATTAACGTTCATATGCCATAAAAGACGACAAACCAGACCAAGTTACTCCCACATACAATGGAACTGTTTTGCTACAATACAGATGACAAACTAATTATACCTCCAATAACCTCCAGTGACAATTTTTGACATTATCCACCATCCCATAAAGTCAAAATATTTCTGCACTTTGACAGAAAACAATCTCATTCCATTTGATTAAAAATACCAAATGTTCTCTAGGGTCAACATAACTTATCTTTTTGGATGCCTGGAGGTTAGCTATACAAAAACTGGGTTGCTGAGACAGCTTTTTTTTAGCTACAATATACAAATATACAAAAATAAATTTTAGTATAATAGTATAAATAAAATCCTCATCTACTCAATAGAAATAAAACAATGTACTCACTTTGACAATTTGGTCTTTATCAGTAACCAACTTAAATCCAAATGAATGGATCCTGAAATCCTGCAATGAAAACAAAAATATTGATGCTTGATGCACAGACAAAAAGAATTGCATTAAGTTTGCAATGAAAGGATTTAAATCTCAGGTTTTTCATTTTTTTCATTTTCTTTTTGAGTGACTTTTTAAACATTTTTTTTTTCAATTTCCACCTGAATAACAGTGAAGAAGTATTTCAGCTTGTCATTTTTCAGTTTGGTCTGTTCATAATTTGCAAACTGATGACCACATCATAAGAATTAAAGATTTGTTCATTGTGATTTGTCATTCTCCATTAAAGACACCTATTGCCTTCATATACATGTTCCCCAAGTTACAAGCTGCTTCTAACGTATGTTGAACAGATCCTGAAATGAGTTGTTTTAGTTGTGTTACTGAACATAAAGATCTTTAAAATTGGTTTTCTCTGTTTTTCTATCAAAAAACAAAGAGACCACTTTTTTTTTTTTTTTGTTTAAATTGTTTATCAACACATGTCATAAAATCAAAAGTGCCCAGAGATTTTGTACGCAGACTCTTTATGATTTAAAAGCTGCCAAATATGAAAGCTGCAGAGTTTTATTTACAGGATATTGCAATTAGGCTGATGGTTATTTTCTAAGCATAGCTTAGATGTAGCACAAGGCCAAAAGTACGGTGCACCTAGTGAGGACCAAACTCACTTTTCAGTCGTAACTAATCTAGCAAAACAAGCTCGCTGATTATTACACCACACCGAGGTGTCCACGATTAAGCTGATTTTACGCAAATTAAATCACATTCATTACCATACGGTCTCCCAAAACACAATATCTTCAGTAATCTTTTTTTCTTCTATGTGCCATGTTCCTTAACTTACCCTTTTTGAGTAGTTACACGTCTACTTTTCATCTCTCAGCTGCGTGCCTGTCTTTGGACAGAGTGCGCTCAGGAGTTTCTCTTTCAAAAGACAGACAGGCAACTGAGAAAATAATACTGAGATGTGCCCAGCCCAGGGGAACAGCTGCTCGAGGCTGCGCCCTCCCATTGCACCAGAGGGAAGGATCGGTGCTTGTACCAAGGTCAGCGCAACCAACAGTTGCAGGGGCTGAGGGGAATTTTTGTCTCTGTCACCGGGGTACACACTCGGGTCCCCACCTAAAAATAGACTTTGTATCACATCTCGTCCTAGTTGGGGGGACAGAGTAAATACCGTGCCATGTCCCTTCAGGATGTAGATGATCACGGCTCTCCACATCTTATTGTCCTATGTAGTTTTTAGCAATATTTGTCTCTTCTAATCCTAAATCTGCCAACCATTTGCACAAATTTGTTAGGTAGGTTATTTGCTGCATTCTTCTTGCCTTCATTGTCGTGTGAGTGTCAAACTCTCCAAGCCCTCTTTCCTCATAAATTTCAACTACCTCTTTTTAAGTATAAGCACCTGTTTTGTTTCCATTTCCTTAAAACTTCATTGTTGCTTACATATTCAGTTTATGGTATTCTCAGCATCCTTGTATGAAATCATATTTCTGTTACCTTAAGTCTTTTCTTCATTTGTGAGGAGATTGTCCAGCATTCACCATTATGTAGGAAGACCAATATTACATAAAACCAAATACTCTTTTCTTTGTTTCTAATGAAATTTTCCTGTTTTTTTTAATACTTTACTTAACTTTTGGAAGGCATCTTCCAATACATCTTTGAATCTCAGTGCTGCATTTTCCATCCACTCTTAAACAAGATCTTTAAATCTTTGTTTTCATGCTTGATTTTGGTGTGTCTCTAATTTGTAGTTTGCCTCTTGAGTTGTTCTTTTTGCTGACACCCATATATTGTCATGGTCATTTCATAATCTTCTTAAGTATGGGTTGTCAGGATACAGATTATCACAGCTGTCCTCAACTATGTTATCCGTAAATTATGAATCTCCATGATTTTTCTTTAAGAAAAAAAGATTCCTGTTACCTTCCCCAAGCTTCTGAATTCATAGTACTTATTCTCTTGAACTACTTGCCTACCAAGGGTAGAGAGTCAAGTATGCCCTACTATTTTACCAATAGATAAGCAGGAGAGAAGAGATGGATTCATGTCTTTCCCAGGGGAAATGAAATTAATTTGATTGGAATTTGAACTCAGCCTGCAAGTTTCATTCTAGGTAATAAGCTTTACAGACCAACATATCCCAAAATGGAAGTTTGGTAGTTTTAAAACTATATAACGGCTGAAATAATAACAGACTTGGAAATTGTCCTCGTTTCAAAATACATAACGAAAAAGTTTTTTAAAATGTAAAGAAAATGCAACAATATAAATTTTTAAAGAGTAACTTGACAAAAAAAAAAAATAATAATTGGAGTTATTTACTTACCCGACAATGAATTATTAAATATTTACATGGCTGCATTATCGTGTTACCAGGAAGCATTTTTTTCTTACGGCTTTGAGAAAACACTGGAATTGGTAAAAATGAAAAATAAGATTTGTTTTTAAAATATAAATTATTGTTATAGATTTGTTAAATTTGGATCTTTTTTTATGGAGAAGAAACCAACAGTTTTCATTTTTTGTTTTGTTTTTTGGGGGAGGGGCAGTTAATCCGTATCACCCCAAGCAAGTCAGTACAGCCACTAAAACGCAAGGGGTTACAGGGTTTATTAAACCTTCTGATGTTATTTTTCATAATTATCTATAATATCATAATTAATGATGCAAAACAAATACAATTATTTACCCACAATTTTTTTTCTAAATTTATTCAAACATTTAATCTTTGCTTTAAATTATTTCTGCAAAATCTGAACTGAATATTTGGCTCCAACATTATGACAATTAGACAATTCGCAATTTGGGTAAAGATTAACAAAAGGTCTTTGTTAAGGATTTTTTGTTGATTAGATATTCAATCTAATTTCTTAAAACTTTATAGAAACATATTTTTTATTATATATGTACATATTTTCACCAAAGGAAATAGTTACAAATTTTATTAACATTTTCACTGCTGCATTGTTATAGCATTATTGCCTGGCTATGCTGGCCCATTTTGAGAAAAATAGAAAATTGCCATTTGCTAGAAATAAATGACATCTGACAATTCCATGTAAAACCAAGAGTTTAATGCTATTAAAAAAAAAAAAAAATTAAAAAGTGTAAATTGTCAAGACTGCAATAATGCTGACAGATACTAGAAAACTATAGAGACACTATTTTGTTGTATCAATTTTCTAAGATTTATATACAATACTTTTAAAAAAAAAAAAAAAAAAAATAAGGTTCACCCTATACAATGCCCAAGAGCCACTAGAGTTATACAGTTACAGAGTAAGAGGTGCAGTTTATGTGGATAGGTGGGCAAGGTCACTGTAAACTCTAGATTTGAACAGGTTAAGATTGTTATGATCGGGGAAGCATACTCTTGGGAGTCGGTTCTACAAAACAGCAGTTCATGGCAAGAAGCTACTTGAGAATGTGGATTTAATATTAAAACTTTGTTTTTATTATGAGTCTATGGTTTGGAAATATTGGGAAATGATAGCTTGGTCATTCTAATGATTTGTTTTCTAACTAAACCAATATTTAACATCACAATTACAATATTTGTAGATGTTATCTTTTTTTTATTGTTGTTCCAAACAAGTTGATCTCCTGTATAGATTAACTATGAATTTTTAACCCCAAAAGTATTTATGGCAGGCATTGGATATATATCAGCCTTAAGTTTTCATGATAATAGAAAGAGAAATTCATTTAACAAAAGATATTTGAATGGCAACAGAACCAACATTCAGCACTTTCTGCTACATCATTTAATTAGTGCAAAGACTATTAGATCAATGTTTTTCAAACTTTTTTTTTTTTTTTTTACTTACTTAGGAGCATACTTGTAGAATAACTAAACCTCTGGAACACACTTCAAATTTTATTGAGGAAAACTTTGTCATGAAGTTTAAAAATATGAAATTTTGGTTTAGCATTGCCAAAGATGATTATTGCTACCTTTTTTCATTTAAAGTGATTTATAATGACTGATTTAAATCTCTTAAGGAAAGCAAAAGGGAAAGATTATCCTTCTTAAAGATTAAATAATTTAGCACCCAATTTAAAATATGAAATGACAAAGACTTGATGTAGATATGAAAGTCATGCGTTTGGTGTTGCTAGCTTTTTAAAAATAAAGACTTTTTTTTAAATATAAAAATAACACATAAAATACTCTTCTGTAAACTTGGGTCACACCTGAGTACCTTTCATGATGCATTAGTGTACCTAGGTACACTGGTTGAGGTACATAATATTAGATTGATACAAATTATATTACTTACATTATTTACATTATTCAGACTGTTATCCTTATCTTCGCACTGTTTCAGCTGTTGTATGCTCCAGCCTTCTTCAGGTGATTCAAATTTCAAACCAAAACCTTTATTTCATCCACCAGGGTAGATTGTTCCAGTTTGACGTACCATTCCTCTGCCTCTTCTGGATGTCTCAGTCATTTCCCTTTTACTCAACTCTTCAAGTTTTTTTTGTTCACCACTGCTGTAGCCTAGTATTGAACTCAAAACACTTTGGGTCTAGTCACTGGATCTAGCCAACATTTTTATTCACTGGGCCCTGTATCCTTGAGACATCCGGAAGAGGAAGAGGCATGGCATGTGGAACTAGAACAATCTACCCCCAGTGGATGAAATAAAGGTTTTGGTTCGAAATTCCAATCACCTGAAGAAGTCCAGAGCGTACAATGTCCGAAATGTTGTGAATATGGCAATGAAGATGAAGGATAACAGTCCAAATAATGTTTTTATAATACCTCATCTCGGAGATATAGACAGAAATTATATTACATTTGATAATATCAAAAAGGTTTATTTTCCAAAGCCTTATGATACTTTATGATTGCTGCAATACCAAATACAATAGAAGTTAAACAGGTTTCATGGAAACCAAACTGTGATGGCCAGTGAAGTCCACTCACTGTTGTAATAAAAAAAATGATTTATGGTTGACAGCAGCTCTCATTTTATTTGTATATAGTAAAGAAACTAAGTGAGAGTAAGCTTGAAAAGAACATTATATAAATATTTGACCACTTGCATATAAGTTGATGAATAAATACAAAAGGAAAACTAATCTTAACTGATGCATTTCATCCTGTGAGGGACTTTATCAGAGTAATTGAAACGTCAGCTAAGTTTTCCATTTGTCTTTATTCTTATTTTTACATATACTGTATATACTCGCATATCAGGCAACTTTTGAAGACCTAATTTTGAAGCTAATTTTAAGTGGGTCGCATCATACACAAGATATAATATTAGTATATGTACTGTTGGCCCCCGGCTACACCACTGACCAAACTATATACCCATTTATTGTAGTCAAAAAGTACAGCTGTATTTAAAGTAAACAAGATTTTGATAAAACTGATGTTTTATTTAACTGTATCCAATAATAATGAATATTCACATATTAGTGTCATATTATAAAATACAAACATAGCAAATATGCATCTTTTCTATTGTTTACGTTTATAAGATGTTTAACTGTTCCTCATTCAGTTATTTATGGCTGTACATGTTTATGCAATGAGTATAGTATTACTAACAATACTTTTATCGTGCTCTTTTACTTTTTTAACTTATTTAACTAAAAAATGAGATAAAGAGATAGAGGAAAAAGGTGAGTTTATTGTAATTTGATCTTTCAAAAAAGGAACTCGCATAATATATGAGATAGATAAGACTATTTTTATAAATGAAAATTTTGGGGTCATACAATATGCGACATCGCATATTACACAAGTATATACAGCAAGTTAGTCCCTAATGTTTTGTCAAATTTTGGTCTTCCAAGCTGAATTTATACATGTATGTATGTATAGCTGGCCACTCTTATTCAAGGATACCTTTCTACTAGGGCAGCTAGCCAATCCCCAGTGCAGACGCTTGCTCAGGCACATTTGTTTCTATTCAACACCCAGAGAGCCCACCTGTGGTTTATACTGCAACTATGCTGAGCAGACCTTAGTTACACTTTCTGGGAAAGAGCGTGTTATCTAGCGTAATCAAAAATTTGAACAAGGCTAGGAAGACTTGTGACTTCATGGCTATCGACAGCTCCCAAAGGTTCCATCTACCCAATTTAACTCACAAGGCTTGGGTCAACCCGTGGTATGGTTTTCAGGCACTTTCCAAAAGGTGCTGCATGCTGAGAACAACCCCTCTGGTCCGATAACATCAGGAAATCTCCTTCCTAACAAATCCACCATAGTGAGATTTGAACCTGGGTCTCATGGTCAGAATGTGAACATTCTAACCACTAGGTGATGTGCCCATATATATATAAGTATATTTACAGTAAATTATCCAACAAAACCAGTTTTATTATTTACACTATTAACATGCAAACAATGCTTTCATATTTGTTTCTGTTATCACTACTTTTCAGCCATCGTGCTCTCTGGCCTTCATCCAGGTGTACGTCAGTTTGAGTAACCTACAGGGAATTGCAAACCGAACCTTTTATTTAATCTATGGGGGTAGACTATTCTGATTCTACTGGCCATGTCTAGAGATATATTGTCTAGATCTTATTTTTAGTACTACTCAGTTATTGCTCCTTTTGTTTCCAGTGATTCCAAGTATACATTACCCGGCCCTGGGATTGAACTTGCAATTACTGTGTCACCATGTTCATGAACCAACACTTTAATCCACTAGGCTATTGTCTACCCACCCATAAATTAAATAAAATGTTTTTTTGTGGAATTCCCTGTAGGTTACCCAAATTAATATACACCTGATGAAAACCGGAGAGCACAACAATTGAAACGATGCAATAACAACAAAGAAGAGGATAATAGTCCACATGTAAATTATAACTCTTCCTCCCAGAAATTGAAATTTAAAAAAAAAAAAAAAAAGTTTAATGTTTCTGTCTGAATTATTTACACTCTGACTAATGTCTTCATCTTTGTTATAGATAAGGACAATAATCTGAGTGTAAAAATTTAAATAAGATTCAAAGCTTATCATATTTTTTTTTATATAGAAATTAATAGACTAAAAATTAGAGACAATTCAGAGCAGTGGTTTAGAAATATACGAGCAATGAAGGGCCACAAAGCAATAGACACCAAGGCAGTCATTAGCTCTGGAGTCAATATTATTTTCTTTGCTTTTAAAGAGGAGAAAATATAACCACAACTAAAATATATTTATGATGAAATAAGCTTATGAAAAGATTATTTTAATTGCCCTTCTTAATACTGTAAATTTGTTTCTTAAAGAAGAGAAAAATCAATTTGAGTTTGTTTTTTTGACTTAACTTTGCATCAAAAAGAAAGTAACAACTTTAAGGATATCATTTTTTTTAAATATTTTCTTTTTGCTGCTTATATATTTTTTAATTACCCAGCAATAACTTTATGCATCACTTTTGTTCTGTCTTTAAAAAAAAATTAAAAAAATAAAATCTAAAAGCTTGTCAAAGAAAGTGTTAATTTTTTTTTTTATATTCAATAATTATTACAATGGAATGAATTAGAAGAGGAGGAAAAAAAAAAACACCAAACAGATTAATGTTATTTATTTAAGAGGGTGGTTTTAAGCAGAAGATAAAACACTGCAAGGATAAGATTATGAAATAAAAGAGGTTTTTCTAGTAAGGAGTCCCAACGTAAATACAAAAGCAATAAGTTGCAGGAATTCAAGAATAAATAAATAAAGAAAAAATAAATAAAGAAAAAATAAAATAAAATCTGGAAAAAAATGTTTACACTGACCAGCAAAAGAAAAAAAAATGTACAAAGGGAATTGTAAACAAAACATTTTAAAACAAAAATTTTAAATATCATAAAATTTAGGAGGTCAAAGTTTAAAAAATTATAGATTAAGCTTAAAAATAGATTGAAATTTGGATTTTTAAAGTTTTATTATGTATGAAAAGTATATAATTCCATAAATAGATAGATAGATAGATATACTTTATTTTAGGATATTACATTGAAAAACATCAAAATAGCTAAACAATTGCAGTTGGATTTTGATGCATATCAATGCATCTCATCAGGCGATTGTGTGTAGCGATTTTGACATGTTTTTTGATGTAATATCCTAAAATAAAGAATATTGCTCTACACTGTATTGAGCCTTCTAAATTAAATGTTATGAACATTGGAATTGTACTCTATTGATTCTCATCTTACATGGAGATGTGTGTGTGTATATATATATATATATATATATATATATATATATATATATATATATATAGGGTGTCCATAAAGTTCATGTGCACTTTAAAAAATTTATAACTATTTGTATTTGCGATAGAAACAATCTGTAAAAAATGTTATAAAGTTTAATGTACCTAGTTTTAAGTATAGCTAAAATAACTAATGTGATTTCAGGCAATACTGTAAATCCTTTGGCAAATGTTTTCCGTGAACTGCAAAAACGTATTACCCTTTGTATTGCTAATGATGGAGGACATGTGGAAACTTAAATAAAATTTCAATAAAACCTTAAAAAATATAGATTTACTTCTTTCTAATCCTTTTTAGAAATTATTTCTATCGCATATACAAATAAAGTTATAAATTTTTTAAAGTGCACACGAACTTTATGGACACCCTGTATATATATATATATATATATATATACACACACACACACACACACAGAGACGTCCTTGACTTACAACAGAGTCCCTTTCCTATAATGTGGCATAAAACAATTTTCTGTATAAATCTGAATGTACCCGCAATTTTGCATGAATAAGCACTCTCAGCAAACAGTCCAATACACGGTGTACAACCAGGAACTGATTCATGCTGCATTCCTCACTCTAGTGCTATATAATGTATTCTTCTGCCACACTGTTTTTTTTGTTGTATGTATGAGGCAAACAGCAATAAGTTTAAACAAGATTAATAGAAATTACATCATAACCACAAATCATCATAGGTTAGGACTGTCAGAAACTTAATATTTTTTAATCCCACATATCTTTATTACTTTAAATATTATTTTTAGTGGATGCCCCTATTTTGAGAAGATGCTCAGCTTTTTTTTTTTTTAAACAGTGTTTATTTAATCTACTAGCCTACTACACTCAATAAAACTTAAAGAAAATGTCTCAGGGCACAAGTTTATTATTATTATTATTATTTTGAAGTTGAGTTTGAAATATAGCCTGAAGATTTTATTCAAATATGAAACAAATTTTCACCACTTGGTGCCTCAATATCCACTTTCATATTTACATACCCTCTCCCTGATATTGAGCAATTTTAGCTGTAAATACAGTGTGTGTGTGTGTGTGTATATATTAGGCACTATTCCTCTAAATATAGCTAATTTCAAATAAAATATATATATGTATGTATGTATATAGAATTAATACAAATAAAATTATTCACTTAGCTTTTTGATGTTCAGAATCACAATCATGGTGAAACATCTCTAAATCTTGTAATTCTACAATTTTTTTTAAATCTGTATAAAATAGTATCTTGTAAGAAATGCTATAATAATAATAATAATAATAATAATAATATCTTAAGTCGTCCAAGATTCTAAAATAATTTGGTTAACATTTATTTAATTACATATCTTTTGATGAAAACATTCTTTTAAATATTCAAAGTTAACTTATAGAAGTTTTGAACCATTTACTTTAAAAGTATATACTTATTAAAAACATGATATACAAAAAAAAAACAATTAAGTTTGTTTACTGATCTTATATATTATTAGAGTCTACGTTTGAATCCAGATAAAAGATTCTGTATATCAAATGTCAATAATCCCTTCCAGGTTGTAAGACTGGTGCAACACAATCTTCTTACTCCCATTAATTATAAGTTATAGTCTTTATTTTGGGGCTTATGCTCAGATTATCAAATTTATTCCACAGTTCATATATAGACAATTGTCTCTCAAGATTATTTATCACTCTTTGTATATGCAGCCATTTATTCTAATGAAATTTCACACAGAACTGGAATTTCTTTTGTTTTCTTTCAGTTATTCTTTTTTAAGTTTGTCTTTGTCGACTGCACTGAAAACCAAAAATAATTTTCAGAAAAAGGTGGAAGAAAAATAAATAATATTTGGACCAAAAGCATTGTAATAAAAGAAAACTTTAAGAAATCTGACTCAAAAATTTATGACCATAAAAATCTTGGAATTTCGGACAACTTAAGACACCATCATGTCATAATTTATAAAATATTTTATATAGAAAAAAAAAAAAAAAAAAAAGAGATCGCTGACTTAGTAGATTTAGAGTTGTTTGATCAAGCAGTTTTTTTTGTTTTTTTTCGCTGGGGAGGGGGCTGTAATAGAAGCTAATTTCAGTCAGTGTGCAAAAGAAATTTCAATTGAAAAGTACCCAGCAAATAAACAGGTATGCTTTTTTAATTGTTTTTTTCTTTGATGAAGCTTTAATAAAAGAGAAACATGTTAGATTGATGAACATTTCCTATTTGTTTTTCTTATCTTATTCTGTTGAATTCCAATCCATATTTGATTCCAACTCCATGTTTTTTTTTTACAAAAAAAAAAAAAAAAAACTTCATCAACCCTGCCATATTTCCAATTTAAATTCAAATATAAATTTCTGAGATTAGTAAATCTAACAAACCAAATAAAACATTCCCACCCTACCCCTATTTTAAATATAAATTGTTCCATCTTTCAAAGAACTTGCTTTCATAAGCAAAATAAAGATTTCAACTGTAAATTCTTCTTGGCATAAATGTATATTTTGAATTGTTTATCTGAGAGAGCAACTAAAAAGTAATCTGAATTTCAAGCGTTCCAGGTTTTTATATATGGCAAAGAGGACGCTGTAAGGAGAGAATGTGAAGCAGCATTATTGTAAGAAATCAAGCTCTTGAAGCAAAACTACAATTTTTTAAACTTTGATTTAAATATAACATGTTGAATAAAATCAAAAAACACACAAAAAATGAAAAAAAAATCAAAATGCTAAAAAAAGCAACAAAAAAGAACAAATCAAAAACATGATGACCTTAATAAAAAAAAAAAAAAAAACTAAAAAAGTTAGTCTAAAAACATTTGTTAATTTGGAACATAACAGTGAAGTTAGTCACATGCAATAAGCAAATTTCTTGTGTGTGAACACTACGGGGAATGATAATTAATTTCAACTTTGAAATTAATGAAAACTGAAATACCAGGCAAAAATACTAATAATTTGGTTAGCTTTTAAATTCCATCATATCGCAAAATATTAAAAAAAAAAAAGATATAAAGACAAAACTTTTTATAGTATTAAAATCAAATAACAAGCAATTACAAAAAGTGAAATAAAAAAAGCACAAATTAAATTCAAAATGTTACAGGAAACTACAAACCATTTGATAGAAATCCTACAAAATTTTTAATCATCATGGTTTGTTTCAATTTGGCTAATATTTTTTTTATTGAAATGCTATTAATTTATTTTTAAGATGCTGTGTGCTGATCATGCTGTGCTGAGAATTGTACAAATATTTTAAATAATTCACTTCAAACACAACTGAGAAACTATTCACAAGTGAAAATGCAACAAAGTGATATTGTGTCATCAATAACTGTGCAATATGAAATATGAATGAGATGCGATATCTCTAGTGATGGGCAGTGGAATGAGAACAATCTACTCCTATAGATTAAATATAGGGTTCAGCTTGAAATTCCTTGAAGGTTACCAAGTTCAATAAAATCCTGATGAAGCCCGGAAGGCACAATGGCTGAAATGTTGTGATAACACCAAAAATAAGGATAGTTGTGTACATGTAAATAATTTCAATCAAGTTTTCTATATTTGAAAGCTGATGAAACTTGAGAATGAGAGCAGGAGAAATATTTCTTGTTATCATAAGTCATTTTTATATGGATATAAATGAAGAAAAAGTTTAAGTAAATGGGACAAAATTTCCTGTGCTCTTCTGAGATACTACAGGCACTATCTACCTACTTTTAACAAAAAAAACGGGGAGGAGAAAGCGGAAAAGAGAAGGAGGAGGAGAAAGCGGAAAAGAGAAGGAGGAAGAGAAAGCGGAAAAGAGGAGGAGGAGGAGAAAGCGGAAAAGAGGAGGAGGAAGAGAAAGCGGAAAAGAGGAGGAGGAAGAGAAAGCGGAAAAGAGAAGGAGGAGGAGAAAGCGCGGCAAGAGAGAAGGAGGAGGAGGAGGAGAAAGGGCGGCGAAGGAGGAGGAGAAAGGGCGGCGAAGGAGGAGGAGAAAGGGCGGCGAAGGAGGAGGAGAAGGAGGAGGAGAAAGGGAAGGAGGAGGAGAAAGGACAAGGGAGGAGGAGAAAGGAGGGGAGGAGGAGAAAGGAGGCTAAGGAGGAGGAGAAAGGACGGCAAGAGAAGGAGGAGGAGAAAGGACGGCGAAGGAGGAGGAGAAAGGACGGCAAGAGAGAAGGAGGAGGAGAAAGGACGGCAAGAGAGAAGGGAGGGAGAAAGGACGGTAAGAGAGAAGGAGGAGGAGAAAAGGACGGCAAGAGAGAAGGAGGAGGAGAAAGGACGGCAAGAGAGAAGGAGGAGGAGAAAGGACGGCAAGAGAGAAGGAGGAGGAGGAGGAGAAAGGACGGCAAGAGAGAAGGAGGCGAATAATAAGAATTTATACCTGAGCTGATTTATCTAGTAATATAGCAATGCTAAAATAAATTTTTTGCATTGTCTGAAATGAAATAAAATGCTACTATTTTTTTATGTATTATTTGAACCAGCATTCAAATGTCTTGAAAAAGTCAGTGGGCTCTTCAGCCTTCCTCAAACAGTTATCTGCCCATTCTTAATCGCCATTCCTTTACTGATCATATGACGAATACAGTAAAAGAAAAATTAGATTAAAATTATTAAAAAAAATAAGAACTTGAGTAAAATATTTAAAATTTTTATAAATCTTTACCCGATGAGGACCACTGTACCAGAGATAAAAAGAACATAAAAAAAAAGTAGATAATGAATGACTACGCAACCATCAAGGGCGGGGTCAACAAGTTTGATTCTGAAAGTACAAAGTGTTTAGAGGACAACCTATTATGGGGAATTTTTCATTTATCAGAAAATTACTAGATTGACAGATCGCTTCAAATTAATCACAGACTGACAATGTAAAAAACTGAAAGAAATCAACACCCACCAAAATATCAAAACCCAGAACATAGGCATTTACTAAGCCAAGTCTGACACAAGGCCAAATAGGATGAAGGCTGTGTCTATCCTCTAAACATCTGCCTTGAAAATCAGCATTTGAAATCCAAACATTGCCTGCTGGCATCAAAGAGAATTAGCCAATGATCTTGAACACAAAGGCCAAGCCTCAATAAAACCACATAAAAGGAAATTTCCCTCCCTGCATAAATGCACCACAACAAAACTCCAACCCCAACCCAAATATATCCTCCACAACAAACACTCCCCTACTATTACACACCCCTATCTATTACTAACATTTGGCTGACTAGCTAACTCTTCCTCCTAATTGCTATCAAAGACTGAAGAATGTTGGGATAAAAGTCTCCAAATAATTTATGGAATAACAATTGCTATTTTTTTTTTATCTGTGGTATTAAGCTAACATTCATTTATTGAAAATGCTTTTAAAAAAGGTACAACTTATGTGCAATAATTTTTTTATGTTACTAGTCACAATAATGAAAGTTACTTTATTTCACCAGATAAATTATTTTCGATATGCACATTTGATGAGTTTATTACAGCCTCATAAATCTTGTCTATCAAACAATTTTATGACATCAAACTAACTGGGTTAAAATCTATTAAGTTCATTTTAATCTGACATAAGGTCATGGGAGAGACTCCCAGGAAGGTCTGATATGATAATACTATTAATAGATTGATTGACTGGCATTCTAAACACTGATCCTTCGTAAAATGCCATACATAGTTGTTTAATCAATATTCCTTTAAACTGGAAAGTACTCAAAGAGTGTATATCTCTGCCATTAAGAGTGAATGGAAATATACAAAGAAGGTTTTGATTTTTCCATGCGTTTCAGATTATTGTCTTACTATCTGTCTATATTCTTGAGATGAAGTATTATGTACACTATTTACATTATTCAAACTATTGTCCCCATCTTTGTTGCCATATTTATTACAACGTTTGGCCATTGTATGCTCCAGCCTTCTTCAGGTGGTTAGAATGTCGAAGTGAACCCTTTATTTCGCTCACTGGGGTAAACTGTTCTAGTTCCACGTGCCATGTTTAACGGATGTCAGTTATCTCCTGTTAATTTCCTCTGAAAGTTCTCCACTGCCTTAACCGGGTATAGAACTCACACTCTTTGGGTCCTGTCACTGGATCTAACTAACGCCTCAAGGACACATGGCACAGTGGTACTAGTGAGCAAAATAAAGGGTTCAGTTTGAAATTCCAACCACCTGAAGAAGGCCGGAGCGTACAACGGCCAAAACGTTGTAATAAATATGGTGACAAAGATGGGGACAATGGTCTGAATAATGTAAATAGTGTATTGTCTTACTATATAAAATATAAGAAAAAAATGTTGATCAGCCCCATGTCCCACTGTTAGTTCCAACAGAAAAGGAATAACTCTTAAAAAACATATTCTCCCCAAATTTATAGATAATTCCTACAAATGCATATTGAGATTTCTTCACCCCTCTCGGTCTCATTTGCCATATTTTTGTTCTTTCTTGTCTTGAAGTCAGAACACTACAATCACTTGACTGTATCCCTTTTAACACAATTCTTACTTCATAAACTTTTTGCCTTATTACTGTTGCTTTGCCTACTTTTGTCTTACATATATTGTTTGTTTAGTATTATTTTGCCCTGTTCATTCTCTTCTTTTGCTTATTGTTTATTGAGCATTTATGCCAATTTCACTAAACCACAGCTGAGAGTACACACCCACACTTCCACAAAATGTTACTAAAATTAACTGAGAACTTTTGGAAATAATGTGTGAACTTTTGAACTTTGTTAGCAGAAGTAACAAAGTTTGGGTGATTTTGTTAATATTTGATTGTTTTAGCACATCATCCCCAGAACATTATATATAGAGACATGATTTTTTTTCTCCTTATTAAGAGATGTATGTGGATAACAAAATCTATCATAAATGTTATTGATTAATCAAATAATTGCCGTCAACCATTGCAAACTCTTAAAACAACACTGATCTATACTTGGTTAGGTTTCAAGAGAAAATTATGATGGTAAAAATGATTATCATTGAACTTGCTCCCTCACAAATTACACTACCCTATGTATATTTTGTGCAAAATGGAGCAATTTTTTTTTTTTTGCTCCCACATTTTTTTAATTATATGCATAGGAGTAAATAAATAAAAGATATTCTCTAACTGAAAATAGTTATCTCCCTTGAACCCCCAACTTTCTTTTTATTTGTGTGCAAACTCAGAATCTGTTAAATATGATCAATAATCAAGTTTAGTTGAGAAAAAAAATATAAGAAAAATGACTTCAGATGTTGAGACAAAATATCACCATGCAAATAAAATACATTTTTAAGAAACTGTTTTAAAATACAAAGCACCCAGGTTAAATGAAGACAAATAAGTTTCATCCATTTAGCGTGTCTGCAGAGGGAAGGCTTACAAAAAAAAAAAAAAAGCATGACTCGGCTGACAGGCACTGAAACCAAAATTAACTGAATTCTCAGCACCCTTTAAGAGAGTCTTAATTGTTGATTGACATTATTATCATCCTTATCATCAACTACAAATGAGGAACTTTTATTAAAAAAAAAAAAAAAAAAAGAAGAATAGCATAGAAAAATACTTTTTTGCATAACTGAAAAACAAGCAATAATTTTTAAATTAATATAAAATAAAAAGAAATGATGGAGAAATATTAATATAAAATACATTATTTTAGTTTAAATAAAATATATGAAGCAAAAATATAAAATTATATTTTGTATATGAAAGAAAAATATTTAAAATGTGAAAAACAATATTAATCAAATTTAAATTGGGTAAATAAACAAAAAATGAACAGAATCCAATTAGTAGAATAATCAATTTCAATATTTTTAAAGAAATCTTAAACTGCAAAAAGGCCAGCAATGTTTATCAAGCTTGCTTACCCATTTCTAAATCAAACAAACATGCAAAAAAAAAAAAAAAAAAAAAAAAAAAAAGAAGAAAAAGCCGGCACAATTTCCAACAGCAAAGGTTATCATTCCAACTATGGAAAACGGTTAGGCAACAAAAGAAATGGGATGGCAAAAATCAATTTTGGTCTGCAGGGAAAACCCAAAGCCATGCGTTTTCAAGTCAAACAACGCGTTGACTCCAATTTGGAAACATTTAATCAGAGTTATCTCCCTTGTAACATTGAACTCATTTGAGTTGGCAATACTATAAAAATGTTTCATTTGCATATGAGAGACCAGGATATATATTTAAGATTTAGGAAAATAACTCAAAACAATTTACAGATTTAAATAAAATAGGAGAAAACAAAACTATCTATTTATAGACACCAGATATTAAATACCATTATATTATAAAAATATTAAAGTATATTATTATAAAAAAAATAAATCTTTAAAGAGTCTTTTTCAATTCTACATTTACAAGATTATTTTAAACCAAGTGAAAATGATTCCTGTTCATTCTATTTTTTAAATTCTTGTTTTTTGTTTCTTTTCCAAAGTAGGGCCTCTTGGTAACAAAATTTAAAATTTAACCATGGCTAAGTACTTGTTCTAGGAAGTTTAAGCCTTTGTTGAAAGTTAGGAATTAATAACAGAGTCCTTTAACTTTCCAATATAATCACTAAGAGATCCAAGGGTAGTAAAATGAAACAGTAACATTAATAAGAATCCAGAGAGCAAAATGTGTACTGCAATTAGGAACAAGCATATAGATATATAAATTTTGATTATAATATTTATATTGACCACTAAGCCATAGATATATACACTATGTTGGGGGAGAATCATTACAGCATAATGGTTAACAATTTCATTTTACAGACTACTCTACCTATCTAACAAATTAATCACAGTTAAGATCATAGTCATTATGAATGCTATGATTATTTCCATGATTGTACACTATATGCTTTACCAGGGTTATATATAGCAGTGTTTCTATTTGTTTGGATGCCAACCATGGCTAGAGAGGGCTGTTATTAGCAAAGAATAGAAGAGATGGATTCATACCTTTCCGAAGGGAATTTGCAAAAATAAACAAATGTAACTAGACCAGAAGTTGAACTCAGCTTGCAGATTTTCCCTTCCACACTGCTAACTATTACAGCACATCCATATTAATGAGTTATTCTTCGTCTTCTCTAGGTGACCCACAATTGTGTGGAAGGTGAAATTAAGTTCAGTAAATTTCAGTATTACATTTGGTTTCAAGAAATTCAGTGGTTAAAAGACTAAAATTTTTTTTAAATTTTGAATCATTTTTTTTTTTTTTTTACAATATAATTTTCAAAATCATTAACAGATAATTTAAAGAAATAATGAAGAAAGTAATATTTTCAAAGCAGCAATCATTTTTTTTAAGACTGAATTGCAAAAGAATCTTAAGAATTGTTAAAAATAAATACAATTTTAAAAGAAATTTACACATAACCATATGGAGAATAAACAC